TTTTCCTAAAGTTGAATTTGTGAAGGTACAGCTAAACAGTAGTAAATTTGGCCTAATGTAGTGGCCACACAAATTTGGCCAAGTAGTGTTGAATAATTAGTTACACGTTAAGCATTTATTTCGAATAATTTTGCATTTTTATAGAAATAAAAACTTAGTATCGAAGCAACTATTTAGATTTATATTCGATCCTTTTTAAAATGGCTGAAAATTTCTTTTAAACATAAAGGGTGCAATGGTGACGAATGAATTATTGGTCATATTATAACAATTATTGGAGACGGAGCTTGTCCATTTCGAGCAACAGCATAGATATATCATGCAAGTTAGCACTCGCGAAATGCGTGAGAAAGTACACTAGTTCAGCACGTAATGGAGCAATGGGACGAGTTTTCTTTCTTTATTTTAATGCATGCTGAAAAGTCCGGAACTCAAATTTACGGTGGTTTGAATGATTGAATGGCTGCTCGAATAGATTTTGAATGATTACTAAAATTCAATGCATAAAGAACTTTGACAACATCTCTGACATCTCTTAAAAACAATTTAATTCATAGTACTTCTACCAGGGTAACGGGCGACAGCTAGACGGCATAAAAAAACTGATTAACATATTGTTTAAAACTAATTACTGATAAACAAGAAATCTAAAGGGGCTACAATATTTATTTAGCTGAGAAAAAAAATTGAAGTCGTAAAAAGACTATTAAAAGGACAATAAAAACATCAGACACTGAAAAACTAATAGTTTTAAATGAAGTGAAAAGAAAATGAGGATATTTTTAATTTTTCTGTATGTGATTAAACAGGTTTTCATCTTAAAAGAGAAGGTTACATTATGATAACAAAATTCACATTCTTTTCCTTTTTTGTCAAAAAAAAGATAGAAAAGCAAGAAAGAGAAAAACTAGATACTGAAGAACCATATGAGTAAAATAATTAATTCTTCAAGTGTATTATACATTACATTAGTTGAAGACGTGTAGTTGAATTGATTCAATTACAGAAAGGTATTTATGCCCTGATATACGTCTATGTACAATGCCCCCCCCCAAAAAAAAACGGACCACCCTGAATAACTTTTGATCTAATAATCGGATCTTCACGTTCTGCGACTTAATCTTAATGATTCGAGGAGGGTTACTTCAAATATACTAATTAATAAGTATAGACGATATTTTATGTTACGAAATCAGACGCAAAAACGTACTTTGTTTGAATAAATATACCTTTTTTTCAACGGATTCAAATTTCTAACTCCCAAAATATAGGGTGAAGCCGCAATCTGGGAAATATGGGTACAATAGTTTGGTCAGGAGAACAATCAAAAGTTTAGACCCCTTAATTTTAATGCTGCTTTTTGCGTTTTCCGCCAAATCTCGAAAACTTTTTATGCAATTTGAAAAATTTCTGCAACCAATTTTTGATGCAATTTGTTTATCCAAAAATAATTCTACGCAAAAATAGCGTTAGTGAAAATTTATTATTTATTTAATGATAGTCGAAAAACGTTTGAAATGTAAGGTAAGGTATACAATGCTTTACATCGAAATCGAATTTTAAATGTACGACTTTTCTAAAATTCAATTTCTCAAGAACTATTAGACCGATTTCGCTGAAAATTTGCATTTTGCATGTAAAATTACATATTTTAAAATGATGTGAAACATTGTATACCATACAATTCGAAAGTTTTTCGACTATTAAATAAAATAATAAAAATAACTAATATTCATTATCATTTATTTTTTGCGTCTATGGACAAACAATTTTCATAGATGTGTGCATAAATTCTTTAATTAGCTTAAAAAGTTCTCGAGATATGGCGCAATACGCAAAAAGTAAAATTAACATTAAGGGGTCCAAACTTAGGACCGCTCTCCTCACCAAACAATTGTGACCACATTTCCCACATTGCGATTACCACCTATATTTTGGCAGTTACTAATCCGAAACCGTCGGCAGAAAGGTATGCTTATTCAGGTAAATTACGTTTTTGTGTCTGATTTTGTAACTTAAAATATCGTCTGCCCTTATGAATTAGCATACTTGAGGTCACCCCCTCGAACCGTTGAGATTAAGTTCTAGAATGTGAAGATCCGATCATTAGATCAAAAGTTATTCTGGGTGGTCCGTTTCCCCTCCCCCCTCCTTCTTTTGGCGCACTATGCACTTTACTAGATAACTGTTGTGGACCCAGAGCTAGAGGCTCATCTCAGCGCCAGAGGTTAAAACAGAGGCTAATCACAGCTAGCTATATTAGGAAAAATTCATATAAAAAAGCTAAGACTCAAAAAATATGAATCAAATAACAATTTAAATTTTCTATTATTCTTATGCTGAGGTATATTATGAAGAAAAACATTGGAAAAAAAAGAAGAAAAAAACATAGGAAAAAAAATTATTCAATTTATTTAAGGATCAAAATCAAATTGTGCTTTTTGTCGATTTCATTAAAAACTTCGCCTGCATATTACCAAAGTTTTACATCATTAGTTTGATTGTTTGTTATGGGCCCAAACATTTTCATGTGTTTTGGATAAAGTTTAAGACCTACAAGTTCAAGTTAGAAAGATATGACCTGCAGTAATTAGCCTAAATTTTGTACCAGTTGTATCAGTTTTACTTATCAATTCTAGCACGCTATCAGACAATGTTATTGTTAGTACGAGTAATATCCTGCAGGAAAAAATGACTTCTTAACTATTGCTATCCGTTATACATATTTTAATTAAAAATTAAATAAATAGATAAAATTTACAAAAAAGAAGGAAAATAATTGTAATCCATCCTTTCGTCTAGGTCAACCAAACTAGAAAACGCTACCCTAATAAAGATTCATTTGAAAGCATGACAACTTTCTCTGTTATCGAAATAAACAAACAATATCTTGCTGATCTAAGTAAACTCTTTCTTATTCTCTTACTGATAAAGAACTAAGCCAGTTATCTGTTCTGAGCTCAAAGCCCAAGATGTCTGTACAAGATATGTATTTATATTCTGCAGAAGTCAGTTGATTATCTGAACAACTTAGCATCGAATAGGAACAATATTCTTTTTCCAGTATGATTTGCACAAGTTTCGCGAAGCGCAATTTAGTAAATTGTAGTTCGATATGATGTTATGTCCTTACACTTTGTAAAAATCGTTTCAGTGTTGAACCATAATATCATTAACTTGAACCATAACACGGAGCAAATTGTAGACCACCTTGAAGGTATTTTGCACTATGTTATCAAAATCATGCTTCTTAAACTTATTAACACGATTGGCTCAACTTGAATGGATACAGGGTTCTATTTGGCACTTTCTGAAGGTTGCATTGCAGCAAATTTGCAATGTATTAAGTCTCTAGGTACTGATACTATGGTTCAAAGTTGAACAGATTTTTCTGGAAGCGTACGTAAATGCTTAAGTCAATTACGGTATCATGTAATTAAATTTAAAAAGTGGTAAAATATGGTTCAAATAAGCACCATGCATCCAAACCGCTTTTAGAAATTTCCAGCTGTGTACGCTGTCTACGGAGTCTAGCTACATTTTCTCTTTTTTTAAATACTATCTTTAAAGCAGCTAATTGAACATTCTTAATGATTGAACATTCTAAAACAGTAACACAATAAGAAAATGGTTAAATTCAGGGCACGAACTTCTAATGTTAGTTTCAGCAGGTGCCGCGTAATTTTAAGCAATTATACCTTTAAATTTGATGGAGCAATTTCTAATCGTTGTGCACTTAAACTAAATTTAGAGACATTTGAAAATTCTTTTTATTTATTTTTTAATGTAACAGGATAGATAAGAAATAATAATAGTATATAATAGAAATAGATGTAACTTGGAAAAGCTATTAATTCCAGAGAAGCTATTAATTTTCTTTTCTATTAATATAAATTACACAAATTGGATAAATACATTGTTCAATTTTTCTATAAAAATCTTACCCAATCGGTATGTGTTCAGAATTACCAGTCTATTCTTATTTCTTAATGTAGTCATTAACCGCCCCCCCCCCCAAATGTCTAATAACACAAAATTATCAAAATTATAATTTTTTATACTGACAAACAACTGATTTAAAAACTGAAAATAATGAGTTAATTTTAGTTTTTATTTTAAAACTCTATGACTTTTTCACTAAAAATAATCTTAAGAATTCCTTCATAAAATGCCAATTTCTTCAAAATTCTTAAGATCTTGAAAAATTCTCGTTTTCTTCAAAATCTTTTGGTCATTTTGATTACCTTAAATTTCATTTAAAATATTTAGCTTGTTGCTAATATAAGTTGGTTTTGGCAACTCGTGGTTTCCTAAGAAATTTATTAATTGTAGGTGATATTAATTAATTTCTAAAGAAACTATATTCTGAAAGTATTTGACCAATTATTTAAATTAAAATTTTGCAGAATTTAATATGAAGTTTTCTCTGCAAACTAAAATGAATAGATACTTACAAATCTGCAATAAAATAAAAAAAAATGGTTCAAATACTTTAGAATATTTTTTAAGAAAATAAGGATATTTTTAAATTTAAAGTTGAGCTCGTAGTGTCCATTCACCTTGTACAAACTACAACCTAGGGTACTACTACTAAATTTTCCAATTATTAATTTTGCTCTTCTAAAGTGATATAGAAATATACAATATCAGGACGCATACGACAAAAGTTTTTAATGCATTTAAGTACGTATTTGTAGCAAAAAATCTATAAATATCAACATCGTAACTAACCGTGATGAAAAACAAAAATCAATAAATCAGGACTATTATTCCAAAACAGTACTAGTGCTGATTAGTAAATTTATTTATTGATTTTTTCACCCAAACTGATGCGTGAAAATTGAAGTGTAACTTAAATAAAGGCAGCATTCTTATTAATACCGATATTTAAAGATATTGAAATCTGTTCTAAATGCATGTATACCACTATTGTTCCAGCTGTTTTAATAACTTTAATGCACTTAAAAATACCTATGTATTCTAAGAAAAGAAAAAAGTACCTGATATGAATCGAGGCTTGAAATGAAAAATCCACTCACCAACATAGCACGTGTTCGCAACAGGTACAACCCCCTCTCTCTGTTAGAAAGCGGTACGGAGGAGAACAAAAAATTTACAGGTAGCCCTTCTGTTCTTTCTTCTTTCTCGGACTGTCAAACTGAAGGAGTTTGGATCTCAGAATCTCAGTAGCTTCTCGGACTCCACCCCCATAAGGGTGCGCGCGCCATTGGCTGGCGGAGGATGGCGTGCGTGAGCCATCTCCTCCCACCCCCCTGGCATCTCTTAACTACACAGACGACGCCCGCCTTTTGTGAGGGTGGGGGTTTGGAATGGGGAAATCGCTTGCTATCCAAGTTTTGTTTCTAGCAAAGATAAACAACTTTTTGAGCGGCGCCACCTGGCGAGTCGCGGAAAGTTTTCTTGTGTGGGATGAACGGTGTTTGGGAAGGGGTTGAAATACCATAGCGGAAAGCCCAATAGCGTGTTGGGATTCCTAGGGCTGGTGTTGACGATTGTGGTAAAAGAACATATTCAGGGTCATTCTACGCGGAGATTGCGCCAAGATCCCCCCCCCCACACACACACACGAAGGGTCCTAAAGCCTGATCAAGAGGGCCCAATAAATATTTTTTCACATGCATATTTTGTAAAACATATTAGTAAATATTTTCAGCTCATTTTTGCTAGATCTAGATCAGGGGTTTACAACTGGCAGCCCGGGGGCCGCATCCGGCCCGCGAAGCATTTTTTTGTGGCCCGCGAATATATTAGTTGTCATTTTTTTACGGACAATTTTTGTAAAAAATCTATATGGGTTTAAAATACTTTTCTCGTTAATAAAAACCTAATTTCTTCGTTTTTGTGTGTATTTCTTCGTTCTAACATCAAAACGACGCAAAAAAATTTTTTTTCTCAGGTTTTGCATCCAAGAAAATATTTATTCAAATTAAAAAATAATCGTGTATGTTGCTTAAAAATCTACTTTGAATTTTAATTTGTAATTCAGTACATTTGTTTTGTACAATCTGCTAAAAATCTGACAGTAATATTTAACGTTCCTTCAAGCATAAAAGAGTCCTACATAAAATTTTGATAAAGTTGCGTCCCGCCATTTGACTGGTGGTTTTAATTGCAGCCCCCGGCCTTATGCAAGTTGGAAACCCCTGATCTAGATGATGTATCGTTGTTCGATACATTTTTAAATATTGATATTTCTACATGAATTTTAAAATAGCGTTATTAAGATAAACATTAATCTACATGAGTTAAAATATATTTAAATAGATAAACATGACTTAAAATACATTCTCCTGATAGATCAGGAATAACATGTCAAACGATAAGTATCGAATGAAACTATAACTTCAGACTATAATAGTTTCGTGACCATCATTAAAAACAACAAATGATGGATACATTAATATAATCAGTATTACAGATAATGATATTATCATGAGTGTTATTTTATTTTTTATTTAATTTTATAACCGCCGTTGAACAGCAGACCCAAATTTGGGTTTACGACTTCTAATATTCAACTCCGAAGCCTTGTCATTTTGAACCCAATCCAGAAGACAAGGGAACTCCTAGATCAGGGAGAAATATGCCTTCTTGGAGGATTTTTTGATGGAACTAATCCGCATTTGCTTTACATGGAGGGGAAGACCACGAGAACCACTCACGGTAGCCGGACGGCAAAGGGACTCTAACCCATGAACTGTCTACCACTGAGGATATTTCACGTGAGCACTGTGGCTAGTGCAAACCTGATGTGCAATTTTTATCGACTGTCCATCTCTGGGATTTGAACCCGGTTCATCTGATAGGAAGGCGAACGCTCTATCCCTTGAGTCATCGCGGCTGTCATGAGTATTAGTGACTATCATTTGAAAAACAAAACGTTAATCAGTGCAAATTAAAAAAAGTTATACCAAATACTTTTTATGACAAAATACTTTCGAACCTACAATAGCAAATTTCAGAGATACCTTCTCCGCAGAAAGTTAAGGGATTTTCTAAATTACTTCTTTTTAGTCTCCAAAAGTAGAGAATCAGTTATTGAAATACGCAAGGTGTTCTGTAGCAATTGCCCTTCCTATCTTATTTTTAAAATCGTCAGCAAAAATGAAATAAAATATTAAGGGAGGAATTAACAACAACTATCGAAATCTAACTTACGAGCAAGATGTTCTTGAGAACATTAAAACCTCTAAAACAGCAACAAGGAAAAAAGAGTAATTGCAAGGTGATTATTAGAAACCCCTAGGTTTCCTCAAACATGCAAAAATGTTTTTTTTTTTTTTTTTTTTTTTTTTTTTTTNTTTTTTTTTTTTTTTTTTTTTTTTTTTTTCAAAGAAAAAATATTAAACTTTCTTAAAAATATATATATAAATATCCTAATTTTTTTTAAGAAAAAATTAAAAAACAAAATGAGGAAGAGATATAATCTCGTCATCAGCTCACACGATTATATCCAAAAAAAAGTGCTTTCTAATATTGCATCAATACCGTTGAAATAAAATATATCAATGCAATAGTGTGATGAGCACCAGAAACTGAAACCAAAATAGAACTTATTAAGCAAACAATGCCAAATAAAGCAAAAAATGCCAAATAAAATAAGCAAGAAACAGAAAATAAGAAAAAATCAAGAAAATACAAAATAAAACTCAAACTGTAATATATAAAGCAAGTAGCGAATTTTATAATTAAAATTCAACCTTATTAATATTAAAGTTTTACAATTTAAATTAAGCCTTATTAATTTTATTTTATTTTATAACCGTTGATGAACGGCCGACCCAATTTCGGGTTTACGACTACTAATGTACATTTCGATAGCCTTGCAATTTTGAACCCAATTGAGAAGAGAGGGGAATTCCTGAATCAAGTATTGGGACAAATTTGCCTTCGAAATCCCCATGGTTAGCTTGACGGCAAGAGGACTCTAGCCCATGATCCGTCTACCACTGAGGATATTTTGCGTCTGCACTGTGGTCGGTGCGAGCTGAATGCGCAATTTGTATCGACCGGCCACCGCTGGGATTCGAACCAGATTCACCTCAACGGAAGACGAACTCTCTGTGCCCTGAGCCGCCACCACGGCTCCAGTCTTATTAATTAAAAATTTTGAATTATCCAGTATAATATTACTACCTTGTCCACATCCAGATTCGGGCCAATCCATGGTAACTAACAAATCAAACGCGCTTCTGTTTCTTCAGTAAGAACGCGCCTTAAGCTGATTTCCACCTATGCTTCTATTTTCATATTTTTTTATCTTTCATATTTTTTTATTTTATTTCGTAAAATTAACACTTGTTACGAAAACATTTTAGATCCTCTTTGAAAAATGTCAGTAAGGTAGTAAATGTATTTAAATGTAAATACATTTGAATTCGTTACTCGCTTTATACATTACATTTTCAATTTTATGGTGTGTTTTCTTGATTGTTTATTTTCTGTTTTTTGCTTGTTTGTTTTATTTTGCATATTTTGTTTTATTTTACATTTTTTGCTTAATAAGTTCTGTTTTTGTTTCAGTTTTTTGTGCTCCTCACACTAGTGTATTGATATATTTTACTTTGGCTATAATAATGCAATATTGTAAAGCACTTTCTTCGGATATAATCGTGTCAGCTGATGACGAGTTTATATTTTTCCTTATTCTGTTTGTCGGATTTTCTTAAATGTTTAAATTTTTTTCTTTCTTCTAAATCCATCAATATATTTTTTTTCTTTAAAAAAATCTATACATCGTTACACGCAGTTTACAGGCCCATACAGGTTTTCTCTATATTTTGAACTTTATATGTATATATATATATATATTTAAGTATCGCTGATTTCAAATCTGCAATCGGTAAATATATCTCCAAGCTGCAGTTCTTTCTAAATTGACATTTTTAGTCTATTTTTTGTAGAAATGGTTAAGTTTTAAGACGATTTATAACAGGGGATCGCGTAAATGTTGTAGCGAGCTTCTAGGAGAGTTAGAGCTTATAATCACGATTAAAATTGCATTGATATGTCATCATAGCCACAAGGGACACTTGCCCCATTGCAGTTTCTTCCTGCACTTCTGCACATGCCATAATAGGGTAGCTCCTCAAGCCACACATGATGAAATTTCTGGGCATGGGTTCCTTAGCAATTTTGATCCTGATTATGTGCCCTAACTCTCATAGAAGCTTCTTGTCACATTTATGTGACCCTTTGTTATATATAAAGTTTTGTAATTTGTACGTTTCGATAAAAAAAGATTAAATATGCAATTTTGAAAGAATCTGTAAATTCCGGAACAAAACTAATTTTAGATTTGAAATTCACACGTAAGAATTAAGAAAGATTATGCACTTGTTTAAATGCATACTTTTATTTTCCTCAGTGCTATTTATTAAAAAAAAAAAAAAAAAAAAAAAAAAAAAAAAAAAAAAAAAAAAAAACTCGTGGTTACATTCGTTTTCCACAATACTAAATTGTAATAGTGTACATTTGCCACAATCATTTCAAATAAAAGGCATCATATCTATTTGATCAAAATATAATTATAGATAGCCATATTAAAAGAAAATTGTAAAAAAAAATAATAATAATAAAAATAATAAAGAAAATTTCTTTTCGGAGTTGATTAAGGTACACAATTTAAATGACGATGTTGTATAAACAGTCCGAATATTTAGAATAATTCGGCTAGGGCAGGTCCCACTAACTTCGGATAATCGAGCTCTCGAGCAAAAAATGTATGAGAAACAGTTTAAGTAGAACTTAAATTATTATTTTGAATAGAGAAAGAAAATAGAGAAAGAAAGAAATGGAAGGGGGGAGGGGAAACTCGTTACGCATGAAAGCGGAACAAGCTTTTATTTAATTAAGCTATTTTGTCTCGCGTTTTATGGCAGACTCGACGTTTCCACCTTCTGAAATAGGTCAGGGCCTCCTTCACACCTGGACCTCTAAAATAGCTATTAACTATGAAAGTTATAATGCAAAATTTTAAACATGCTTCACTATTTTTCATGACTTTACAACGATCTCAAGAATGTGGGAGATGGTAAAAGACTATTTCATTCACAAAAGACTTCCTGGTACAAAGTACTCAGGAAATCAGTTACTGGCCTTGATACCGGACTTTTCCTGAATAACTTATATTTAAAGACCTAAGTAAAAAGTAACATACTATAGGGAATACTGTATGTATTTAGATAACAAAATGAAGATTGCTGGCAATTTCCATGGTGATTGACGTTACATTTTGAGAAGTTAACTTTTTGTAAACTTTTTTTTTATTGTTAAATAAATATATAT